AGTGGATAAAGTCGGAACCAAGAAAATTCAAAACTTTCGTGGCCAACCGACTTGCATAGATTGAAGAGAAGTCCAAGCCAGAAGACTGGAGATGGGTACCAACTAAGGAGAACCCAGCAGACGCCACGAGGGGAACCCCAATCGAATTCGACCACAACGCCAGATGGTTCAAAGGCCCGTCATTTCTCCGTCAATCAGAAGAAAAATGGCCGTTTCACGACTTCAAACCAGAGAGTATTATGCCAGAAGAAAAGCACAAAAAAAAGGTGTTGGCAACAGTGGCAGCAGAAGACATCCTTTTGAATCCGGAAAGGTTCTCGAGATGGGAGCGACTGCTGCGCACTACAGCCAGAGTGGTTGCCTTTGCACACTACCTATTAAAGAAGAGCCGTAAAGCGACCACCACCGCCACGCACCAGAAGGATGAGCTTTGGAAACCACAACAAAGAACCCAGAAGAAAGAAGCACACGCCTCAAACCCATCAGCCAAAAAAAATGAAAATAAGCGGCTATATCTATCCCTAGAAGAAGAACACTTAAAGAAGGCTGAAGAGTTATTAATGAAGATAAGCCAGACTGCCTGACAGTTTCGCGTCAGACATAAGAAAATTGAAGGCAGAGAAACCTCTAGAAAATTCAAGTCGACTCAAGAAAATCGACGTTTACGTTGGAGACGATGGAATTATCAAATTAAGAAGTAGGACAATGAAATTCCACGACCAAAACGAAAGAAGAATGAATCCTATCGTTTTAGACGGGAAACAAAAAATAACCCCTCTAATAATACAATACTATCATAAGAAATTCCTTCACGGAAACACTGCTACAGTAATGAACGAGATTCGTCAAAAGTTCTGGATCCTGGGCTTAAGAGTGACTCTAAAGGCGGTCACACACAGCTGTCAATGGTGCAAGACAAAGAAGAGATCACCAGAGATACCCCCGACGGGAGACCTACCGAGCGAGAGACTACAGCATCATCAGTTTCCGTTCTCCTGCACGACCGTAGACTACTTCGGGCCGATGCAAGTCACCATCGGAAGAAGAACTGAGGAGCGCTGGGGAGCTTTATTCACTTGCCTCACTACTAGAGCAGTACATCTAGAGCTAGTACCTTCTCTCAGCACTAGCTCAATGATTATGGCTCTCCGACAAATGGCAGCCAGAAGAGGGACCCCGAAAACTATATTCAGCGACAACGGAACCAACTTCGTCGGGGCCAAAAGGGAACTAGAAGAGGCCGCACAAGAAAAAGGCATCAAGTGGAAGTTTATTCCCCCGGTAGCTCCGAATATGGGAGGCGCCTGGGAGAGACTTGTACGATCAGTCAAGACGGCGCTAGCAGTAGTCCTCAACGAGAGAAGCGCGCCCGAAGAAGTACTCCATACACTAATGACCGATGTTGAACACATCGTCAATTCGAGACCCCTCACCCCGATCAGCATGGACCCAGAAGGCGAAGAGAGCCTAACACCGAACCACTTTCTGCTGGGAAGATCATGCGGAGCGATGGAGCCGGGAGAATTCAGTGACACGGAGCTGGTCGGAAAGGCAAATTGGAGGACCACTCAAAGACTCGCAGACCATTTCTGGAAAAGATGGATCAAAGAATATTTACCTCTCCTGATGCCAAGAAAGCTCGAAAAGAGAGAAACCAAAGACCCAAGAGAAGGAGACGTTGTGCGGATAGTGGACGCTACGTTACCACGAAACTCATGGCCTCGCGGAGAATTTATCAAGACCTATCCCGGACCAGACGGAAGAACCAGAGTGCTGGACGTGCGGACATCAGGAGGAATACTTCGCCGCCCAACTCGACGTGTCATCGTGCTGGTACCAGCGGAATCGTCACCTCCGGAAGATGAAGTGCTACGCACCGTGGGGGAGAATGTTAGCGACGACAAGTGAATTTAATTATTTAATTTCAATTTATTCTTATTTGTGATCTTAAAACTACGTAAAGACTGATAGTGTTAATAACAAAAAAGTGAATTAATTACTTATACTAGCTTCAATTCTTATTTGCAATCTAAAATTACATAACGAAAGTTAGTACGAAAGTCAGTAACGAAATGTGAGTCTAATTACTTATTTGAGTTTAATTAGAATATTAGAAACGAAATATGAATCTAGTTACTTACTGGAATTTACTTTTATTATAATCTAAAGAACTACATTAGAAACATTAGCATCTAAGTGTGAATTTAATTACTTGTTTAATTCTTTTCCTTTTAATGTAATTTAAAACTACGACAATACGTCAATTAACCACTTGTATAATCTCGTTTCCTATTATAAAAATAGATTTAGTTCAATAAGAAGTTCAAATGTATTCTGCACAGTTTCTTAAGATTAAGCGTAATGTTGTTATCACGATAAGCATTGTGCATTCCTGCCGCCTGGCGGCGCTACGTGTATGTTATGCGGAAAAAAGCTTAGCTACTACGGAGCTATACCGTAGGAAGACCGCTCCACTATTTTTATTTATTAAAGGTATAAATTAAGGGTTTTATGAATGATTAATGTTTGAAATAATAAAGATAAGCTATTTCTATTACCAGGAATGCATAAAAATATTGTAAGAGATGTTTCACCACAAAAATAAAAGAAATTTGTAAGTTTCCCTTAGAAAAGGTTGTTCTGCGCTCTGATTGGTCGACGGAAATCATTAGTGCCGTGTGCAAATTCATTATTTTGATTGGTCGAAATTGCCTATAAAAAAGAGGCGTTTTTTGTAGTTAAACATTCCAAATCCGGCAATGTAAGAATAAAGCATCAAGAAAATAAATAGAAGAAAACTCTGAAGAAGTGTTATTTATTGCTCATCTAACTGCTACTGCATGCACTCCAGTTAACATCCCGCCACCATAACCCGCTCCATTACTAACATTCTCACACACGAGCATCAACAGAGTTTCATATGAGTTAGTTGGCCATTTTAATGCAATGTTACAGATATGTTACACTCCCCTTTTAACAAATTTTTTCCATTTCTAATTTGAAAAATATATGTTTTTTTAATTAACCTTCCTACTTAACATACAAGGGAACTACCCAGAAAACAGCATGAGTTGATAAATCACTAATGTTATGATATAACGGAAACATGTTTAAAATTCTTTGTTATAATTTGGTTGCAGGTGTCCCTGGGTTGCAGTGTCGGGCCACAAATTAATAGGACTAAGTATTTCAATATACAATTCTCCTAAATGTTGAAAAATTTTTCGTCGGAAATTATGACTATCAAGCTGCGTATCAACTTCACGCAGCAAACTAATCTTGTGCCTGCTCGGTCATTTTAAAGATCGCCCCGTACTAGTACATTTCGGATAGTGAACTAGTTCGTTCTATTAGCTCTATTAGGTCATCAGTACCACCAACCTGTTTATATTGTATCTATATGTGTGGATTGCTTATCTCAGTCAGTCACTGAGTGGATAAGAGACGTATTCATTGGCTCGTGTCTACGCTAGTACTTGTTATTAATTTGTACTCTTGTCTTTGATTGGCTACTGACCGATTCTCGAGTTACGTTTACGTTTTGTATTGGCGTCTTGTGAGTGTAGGTGTACGAAAAGAGCTGTTACCCGATTAACAATCAGCATTCGGAAACGTTTCTTTTAGTAAAGTGCCAAGATACGTTTTTTACTACACAAGAGTACGTCAAACCATCGAACATTGGCTCAAACGGCAGCCACGCACAGTGGATACTGTGTTGCCACGCGCGGCAATTCCAACATTGGTGTGCTCGAACGTGCCGCGCGACGAAACAATCCGTGTCGGTTTTTGACGGCGCGGCAAAGAAATCTCGCGCAGTTGGGACAGTCGTTTACGTATTTTAGTTGACGCGTACGGGAAAAACATGGATGGACAAGTGTCGTACTTTTATATGGTACTAAACAATTTCTATGGAAAAGTAAATGTAGTAATTATCACAACAAATCATTAAGAAAAGATGCTTGGAATGAAATCAGTGCAGAAATGGGCTCAACTGTTGCAATTCGCCGACGTACAACGTCCATGGTTGCCGCGCACAAAATGAACGTTCGTTTGCGGATCGGCTTCATCGCTGTAGTTAAATTGTGCGCTAAAATTGGCTTGCGAGCCAAAACATAGCTTTACCGCGGGCGAACAATGTTCGCGCGGCTGCCGCTAGAAGCTGAAACCTATACGCAGCTTTATATTCACATTTATAAATCTGGAATTGACACTACTATATTCATATTTATATTTTTATGTCTGTCCCTTAAAACCAACTGGTTTCATGATATATTTTACATGGTATTTTGTGTTAGCTGTCAGAAGTTAAATACCCAGGCTGACGAGATGTAATGATAAAGGCACGAGCTGTCTAATAATATGATTCCCAGTTTTCAGGAGTCGCTATACGTCTACGTATGTTATAAGTCTTGTTATGCCAGAGGTCTTACTGTATAACCATACTCCATGATTAAGATCTATATAAGTGATGAAGAGGAATGGTAGCCACATACTTAATAGAATTTAGCTGAAGTATAATTAATTATCCACATCAATAAACCTCATAATTATATTATTATGCTTTATTATCTAAGAATCACGCCGGAACGCGAGTCGACCCCGCGCTGCACCACACTACGCCTCATATTTGCATGTTTCCTTCAGAATTTCATACTCTGTCTTATTAGCATTATGCCATTTGACAAATTCACACATATTTCCAATGGGTGTGGAATGGGTATTAATGTTCTTATAAATAATTTGTTACGCTTGATGGTATCAAAACTTTATTATATTAGCATTACTAAATGCTATTACAAATTATCTTCAATCTTAGGTGATGTACTAGATGTTAATGTTCACTTTTCTATGTAGGGATTTGTGGTAACAGAAAGACGTGTTTATTATGTGTTGATTTATTTGCAAACTATTGTAAACTTGAACAAATTATGCCTTTAAATATGTAATATGTATGTACGTGAATACATATACACTTACGCTCGCGCTCGCTCTTATATAGATCATTCTATCCGAACAGGTGATATTAATTTGGAGGAATTTGTTTTGTTATTAAAGTTAACATAGTCGAACTTTGATCTGTAAGGTAATAAAAGTTTTTAGTTATACACACCAATTCAAAAATACTGGAAGAGTTTAACTTAAAATACTTAAATTATTAAGTTTTTCCATTAATTCATTACATCTCTCTTCACAAATCTAATACTAAACATAGGGCTCCTCCAAGGAATGCCACAAAGCACGGTCCTGAGCCGCCTGCATCCATCGACTTCCTGCATGTCTTACCAGGTCGTTACTTTAGTAGGGGACCGCCCTACATTTATCCTACAGGTTATTTAAAGTTATTTCAATATGCTTTGTGTATTAATGTACCTTATTTTTGTAAAAGTAATAAATAATAAATTGAATGATTTCCAGAATCAAAATTTTTGCTAAATGTTAAGTGCTCCGTGGCTTCTTCTCATTACTGAGACTTTGGAGCAATTAGTTCGCTGCATTGCTCCTATGTGTGCATTGTTTGTTGGCTATATTTTAGAAATATTTTTATTTAGAATCAACCAAGAGCACGTGGTAATGGTAAAATTGTAACTAACAATATCAATCGTACCAGTAGGGATCGAATTCGGGTTTGTTCTGTTGCTAATCCCCAGCTACAGGTGCATATAATTTACTTAATTTTTCCACACTTTTCTTGTAAAATATATCTAAATCTAATGTTAAATGCAACTGCTTAGGTGCTATTTTCGAAAAAGTCCAAAAAGGCGCAAGTTTTTCTAATCATGCGTCCACTATACACTTTTAATAAAAAGTATATAGTAGACCTACCCTTCAGAGAAGATTGGCTGAATGGAAAGGTTATCTGTGAGGTCGGTAGCTTTATGGTATACCGATAGATCAAAATTGGGCCTCGACGTAGGCTTTGGAATTTATGGGGGGCATTCTCCTGCATTCCTCATTTTATGGGGAATGCCCCAAATTCAAAGTTAGTATGAATTTGGATAGATTCACCTCTCCATATTTCATTCAGAAATTTTCGCCATATTTCAGTATCCGAAAATCAATCTGCAAAAACACTACTTCAAACATATAATCTATATAATGATAGTCAGATAGTCAGAGTCATTAGAGATCAAACTTCCGCTTTTCGTCTGGTGAGTGCAGGTGGCCGTAGGCCTAATTACCCCCCAACCCCATCAACATGGCAGTGGAATTAAATGTTAGACTACCTCAGGAGGGTATCAGCACCCCTGAAGAATCCCTCACTAAGCATGCACGACCAAGTTACTCCACTCCTGAGCGTGGGTGCTCAGGCTGCCAGCGTATTATGGTGAGGGGGAGGTGCAAAATTCCACTAAGATAATAACTGCTCGGGCCGAGCTAAGCAACAAGACTAAAGCGACCCCTACCACGCTATCTGTGAATTTCTGCAATATCAGGGGACTTCACTCGACCACTACCAACTCGAGATGGCAAAGCCGGCTGTAATTTTTCTGACCGAGGCGCAGGTGTCCTCTCCGGCTGATGCTTCGTATCTCTCCTAACCGGGATACAAACTGGAACACTCCTTTGTGGCTCAGACCGGCGTTTATACGTCAGAGAGGACATCTGTTGTCGAAGCCTCGGCAGTCTTGAAGGTATAGGACCTGTCCATCCTTTGACTACGCGTAAACAGCTACTACCATCCGCACATTTACGCGTGCCTCTATAGGTAATGCCAAAACAGACCGACTCTTCGACCACGTCCAAATGGCTACAGATTAATTGCTACAGCAGATCCTCTCTGCAGAGATCGTGATCCCCGGCGATTTTACGCCCACCACTCCGAATGGCTTGTTTCACGTTTAACCGATGCGGGGAGATCTGTTCATGATTTTGCCTTGGCATATGGTCTGACACAACTGGTTACTTCGCCTACACTGATTGCAGATGTGGAGGATCATGCACTTTCCATGTTGAACCTTCTGCTGACCTCTCATGCCGACAGATATCAGGTCTCCGTCGATGCCCCTCTTGGCTCCTTGAATCATTGTCTTGCCCGGAGTGTAGTGCCACTCACGCTGAAATCGCAGTTGCATTCTGCAGGCTGCCGCCGTGTTTGGCACTATAGGTCAGCCGATTGGGGTAGGGTGCGGTCTTTCCTTGCATCCTACTTTTGGGGGCGGGTTTGCTTCTCGCCGAACGATCCCAACGTTATTGCTGATTCTGTCACTGACGCGGTACTTCAGGGTATGGAACTATTTATTTCTTCTTCTGTGTATCGGTGCCCATCGGTGGCAGATCTAAGCCATGGTTTAGTCACTCCTGTAAAACAGCATCATAGTGTGTGCTACCGGGCCTGGGCTGACGCATCAACATCCCCCGGATGTAAACACCAGCGCCCTAAAAAATAAGTATAATTCCGCCTCCAGGTCCTTCAAAAGAGTCATTGCCAAGGAAAAGTCAGAGCAACTGACTAACGCTTTTGGAACTGGTGCATTCTGGTCTCTCGCCAAGGCTATCCAAGGGAATTTCTGTCAGTCATCTCTTCCATCTCACCACAGGGAGGATACCCATGCCGCAAAGGAGAAAGCCGATCTGCAAGGCTCTTTCTTTGCTTCAAATTCGACTCTCGATGACGGGGGAGCACACCGCCGACCATCTCGCGGTGTGAGTGCTCCATGTGGCATGCTTGATGTGCGATTCACATAACGCTCGGTTCACAATGCACTCCTCTCCCTGGACATCCACAAGTCGAGTGGGCCTGACGGAATTTCCTCAATTGTGCTGAAGACGTGTGCTCCAGAGTTGGCACCGGTTCTTGCGCATCTTTTCCGGTTCGTTTACTCCCTAGGCGTGGTCCCAAAATCATGGAAGACGGCTTTCGTCTACCCGATCCCTAAAAAAGGCGACCGCTCAGATCCGTCACACTACAAGCCTATCGCCATCATCTCCTTGTCCTCCAAAATAATGAAATCGACTATAAGCTACCAGCTTATGCGGTACCTTAAGGATCACCATCTGATTAGTGACCGCCAATACGATTTTCGTCGGGATCGATCGGCTGGTGATCTTCTGGTCTACCTGACACATCGATGGGCGGAGGCAGTAGAATTCAAGGGGGAGGCATCGGCCGTTAGTTTGGACATAGCGAAGGCCTTCGATCGGGTCTGGCACAAAGCGCTTCTTTCAAAGCATCCTATGGAGAAATTGTGCAATTGGATCACCAGCTTTCTTGCAGTTCGGAGCATCAATCAACAGAAGACACAAGTTTGCGCGTTAATCGATAAAAAGAACCCCTTTGTCGTATCTCCTTGGTTTCAAAGCACTCCCCTTGCTGCCTCAGCCAGTATCGGAATCCTCGGCGTCGACATATCGAGTGACGTGCAGTTTTGTGGTCACTTGGAAGAGAAGGCCAAATTGGCTTCTAAAAAGCTTGGCGTGGTCAGCAAAGCGGGACAGTATCTCATGCCGGCACACCGCCGGCAATTTTACAAGACGCAGGTTCGGCCGCACAAAATGGTCCCTCTTTCCTCTCCAGTGTCCGCTCCTTCCATTTGATTGCATCCAGCGCAGAGCTGTTCGAATCGTCGGTGACCGAGCTCTTTTTTCTCTTCATTTTCTTTCGCATTACTACCACGGGAAGTGCTCTGAGGATAATTGTTCAGAGTAATCCCAGCCGCCAAATTTTATGAACGCACCACGCGGCAAACCTCCCGATACTATCCACGCTATCTGGATGCTTGGCGGTCCACCACTGTACGCTTCACTAAGAGTTTTCTTCCGCGTACGACCTCTCTGTGGAATAGTTTACCACTGGCGATTTTTCCAGACCGATACGACCTAGGGACCTTCAAGAAAAGAGCTTACTCCTTTCTAAAAGGCCGGCAATGCACCTGCAATTCCCCTGGTATTGCAGTTGTTAATGGGGGGACGGTAGTCACTTAACATAAGCTAAACCGTATGCTAGTTTGTCCCCTCTCTTATAAAAGAAAAAAAAAACAGTTGGAGACTGCGTGAACCGTCTAAACGCCCTGGGATGTAACAACAAGATCGTTTTGATGGATGGTTTTGACAAGATGGGTTTCGGGCTTGCGGACAAGTTCACACAGGAGGGCTCAAAGAGTACACAATTTGGACCCGAGCCATTTTGTGTAAACTTAAATAGCTTAACCCGATTGACCCTTGAAACCCTTTATCACGATAAATTAGTTAAGATCCGGTCCGATTAACCAGGCTTAAAACATTCTAAAACCTTAATTCAGGCTTATGATCGTAAATTTACTTCAGTAGCCATGGGATTAGGTAAGTATAAATTGCGTAATCTGGAAAAGTCCTAACTGGACACTGTTGTCTTATAAAGCACATGTCCATCCCGCGAATAAGCTACTCAATGATGTGCAGGTTCTGTTTCTTAACGGAAGAAACGCCTCTGCACATCCTAGCTGATTGTGGACCCTTAATGCGCAAAGGTAACACTAATCTGGGAAACTATGTACTTCACTTCTCCCAGAGGAAGTGAAATTGCTAGCTATTATAGCTATTATATAGAATAGGAGTTGCTTAGCTAAGCAACCGCTATTAATTGAAGACATAGGCTTAGAAGTGAGCTTTAGCCATAGGAGCCATCACAATAGATCTTTTAGGTCTCAGCGATACTGAACTTTGTAGACCTGCATAGCTGCTCGCACAAAACAAAAAAAAAGATTTTCTACATTTATATAATCAAATATAATTTTAAAGGCGAGTAGAACTGCATCCAAGGAATTTTGTAAATAAATTAAACCGATTCCATCATGAATAAACAACTTGCAAAAATTGTGGTGTTAATCAACAGTGCCGAGAACATCCCTCACGATTATACAAAAAAAAAAAACACATTGTTATTAATCTACGCCTCCAAAAGAGACGGGGCGGGCTGCAACAGTGAATGTGGTGAGCATTTTTGCGTACTGCTTCCTATATGCAAGGCAGGCCGGATAAGTGAGCAGTCAGCAATGTGATCAATGAAAAGCTCAGCAAGTTATTTATATTTAAGATATTATTAAACGACATTTGTGTTGGTTACTTTATCTAGAGATCTTCTGTTTCTGTTGTTGTATGTATAATATGTTGTTGTGTGTATAATAAAATATTGTAAATGAGGCTAATACTCTACCAAAATACTAGTACAACTTACGTGTACTTACTAAAGTACTTTAAATTCACAAAAGTAATTGTAGTTAAGACATCAACACTCACCTGTGAATTTTAGAAACTCTGGCAAAGTGAATTTTATGCACAACGTATATGACAAAAAATAGGCCTAGACCGATCAGTAAGGAGATTCCAAAAATAGAAGTAAACTGAAACAAAGTATGTGATAAGTATTACTTAACATAAAGAGTAAGAAGTTAATAATAAAGTCCATGAATATAGTATAGTCAAAGATTTAAATAGATGCGCCCTTACCCATAGTATGAACAATCCGAAATGTGTTCATTCTCAAATGAGTGTGCTCACTCATGCGCAATCAGTACCCATTTGTGCGCGGTGACAGTCAGACGTTGCACATTGGAACTAACGCTCTGATTTCAAAAAAAAAAACTCTTATAATGCCATCGTGTGCCTATCGAAAATGCAATAATAATTCTAGAAACACAAATAAAGTCCAAGGTGTAACATTTCACTCCTAAGTGTCTATATTTTATTAAATCATCATCATCATCATCATCATTACAGCCCTTCACAAGTCCACTGCTGAACATAGGCCTCCCCCAAGTAATGCCACAAAGCACGGTCCTGAGCCACCTGCATCCATCTACATCCTGCATGTCTTACCAGGTCGTCACTCCATCTAGTGGGGTGTCGCCCTACACTACGCCTACCGGTACGAGGCTGCCACTCGAGAACCTTCCTTCCCCATCGGTTATCGGTTCTTCGAGCTATATGGCCGGCCCATTGCCACTTCAGCTTACTAATCCGTTGGGCTATGTCGGTCACTCTGGTTTCACTGCGGATATCCTCATTTCTGAGTCTATCACGCAGTGAAACTCCGAGCATAGTCCTCTCCATAGCTCGCTGAGCGACCTTGAGCGTCCTCATACGGCCAGCGGTGAAGGACCACGTCTCAGATCCGTAAGTCATCACTGGCAACACGCACTGGTTGTACACTTTAGTTTTCAGAGATTGAGGTATACCTGATGAGAAGATGTGTCGTAATTTCCCGAACGCTGCCCAGCCGAGTTGAATCCGTCGATTGACCTCTCGGTCGAAGTTGGACTTACCTAGTCGGACTATTTGTCCCAGGTAAACGTACTCGTCAACAACTTCGAGCATAGTGCTCCCAACAATTACCGGCATAGGTGTGACATGGACATTAAACATGATCTTTGTTTTGTCCATGTTTATCTTAAGACCTATCCGTTGGGAGACACCATTGAGGTCATTGAGCATAGTGCCAAGGTCCTCCAGCGATTCTGCCATAAGGACTATATCGTCGGCAAATCGAAGGTGAGTGATGTACTCGCCATTGATGTTAATACCGTATCCTTTCCAGTCCAGTAGCTTGAAAACGTCTTCCAATGCAGCGGTGAAGAGTTTCGGGGATATAACATCACCCTGTCTTACACCTCTCTGCTGCTCTCTAGCCCTACTGTACAAACACTTCAGCACTTCAATATACCGACAGTCAACTAGGCACCGCTGAAGACTGTAGCACCGCCCAAATTTCGACGGAATCAAAGGCTTTCTCATAGTCCACATACGCCAGGCAAAGTGGCAGATTGTACTCTTCGGACTTCTGTACAATTTACCGAAGGGTATGTATGTGGTCTATGGTACTGAAGCCTTTTCGGAAACCGGTTTGTTCGGGAGGCTGGAAGTCGTCGAGTCTGCGTGCGAGACGATTCGTAATGACTCTCGAAAACAGCACGTAGACGCGGCTCAGAAGGCAAATCGGTCTGTAGTTCTTCAAGAGAGCGTTGTCGCCTTTCTTAAAGAACAAGACCACCGCGCTTCTGCTCCACGCCTCCGGAGTAATGCCACCATGGAGGACGGAATTTTATTAAATATTGAATTTATTTTAATCCGATGTCAGAAAATAGCACGAAATAATTACGGGCAAAAGGAAACTGTGCGACAGAGAAAGTAGTATACACAAATTCTGTGCAACAGAGAAAGGAGTATACACAATTTACGTAAGATAATAAGAGATGACACAATTGCTTCAGTACTCTTCTAATAACCAATTTAGTTAGATACTAGAATGTATTAAGGAAGCGGTTTACAAAGGGTTCATCTATAAATAGACATAAACAGATGGAAATGCCATAGTAGCGTCGGCCGTATATGACCGTATTGCGCAAGCATTGAGGTAGGGACAAACTGAGCCCACGTACGCAACGTATGCAACGCAACGTGGGTGACTTGGTGTGCACACTTGTCCCACGTATCAGACGCTGTTGTAATTTCTTCAGGTGTATAATGTTTTCCGAGTCTGACAGTGAATTTGAGGACGATTTATTACTTATTAATTTATTATTATTAAAAGAACAAAAAAAAAAAAACAGTTAAGAAGAGAAGATATTGGGTTTATGTATAAATAAAGAAAGAGAAAATGTAGGTGAATACCATACATTATTAAAGAAATTGGTATGTGATGAAGACCGATTCTTTATGTACTTCCGTATGTTTAAAGTACAGTTTGATGAGATTCATAGTATTACTGAATGTGACATAAAAAAAGAACATACACGTCTTCGAAAGCCAATTAGTACCAGAGAACGGCTAGCAGTTTGTCTACGGTATGTTTTATCTGTTTTTCTATTGCAGAGATAACTATGCTAGGTACTATAGAAAATAATACAAATAATAATGGTTAAGAATGTTTTTATTACCTACATATTGATATTTTCGTAATAACAGTGAATATTTTCGACCTCTCCAGTTTTTTCATCATCATTAGCCGTTTCTGATGAAACTTGGGTATGGGACAGTTCAAGTATATAAGATGGGGAAGAATATGAAATGTGGGGTTGTACCAAACTCCCAGAAGTAGAATTTACATTATGGCGGTTTAGGCTGCTTCTGTCACTCCTAATAGCAATTGGTGTTCTCAAAACATTTTGTTGTGACTCCAGTTGTTTGATCTCTGCTTCACTTATAGCTTTAAGCAAATCCATTTTAATTCGAATTTCATCCAGTCTTGGGAGTTTTTTCATAGTTGTGTCCAGTGTCCAGTTCCTGCTTTTTATTTCTATTTTCTTGAGAGTTTTTTATCATATCCATCATATCAGCCAAGTAATTATCAGTACTGGCACCTGCCTTTCTTTTGTATTATGATGTATTCGACGTAGGAGTATTGGTGCGGGATGGTATGCTTTCAGGGGATGGTTGGCTTTCAGCGTATGGACTCTCCGGGGATGGAAGAGGAGAATTTTCATTAGACACAGTAGCATCAAGATTTCCTGTAGTAGGACGGCCCTCCAAATATGGCATCAAAAATGACATTTGTTCGCCAAGACGCAATTTTTTTTCCAGTTTGGCCACTTTTCTTTTGGCGCCGTTTCTTAGCATTATTATAGCAATTACGCAACTTATTCCAATTTTCTTTGCACTCGTCAACTGCAACAATAATAAAAATTAATCCTGTATTTAATTTTTAAGAACTTGTTATGTTATGTTACAGATTCGGGTAATTCATTTCGAAGTATCGGATTTAGTTGTCGCATGGGATTTTCTACTATACGAACAATAGTGAAGGAGGTTTGTTAAGCGATTTGGAAACATCTTGGTCCTATTGTGTTGCCGCAACCAACAGAAGTTATGTGGAAACAAGTAGCTACTGATTTCAAACCCTTTTGGAATTTTCCAAATTGCATTGGCGCTCTGGATGGAAAACACATAAGCATGAAGTGTTCAATTAATGGTGGCTCAGATTATTGGAACTACAAAGGTCAAAATTCCATGGTGCTCTTGGCTTCGGTAGATGCCAATTACAAATTTATAGTAGTAGACGTGGGCTCCTATGGAAGAAACAGTGACGAAGGTATTTTTGAAAAATCGACACTAGGCAAACTAAAATCAGAAGCAATTAAACATACCAGAAGATCAACCTCTTATGCCAGGATCAGAATTATTACCGTATGTTATAGTTAGTGATGAAGCACTTCCGCTTAAACATTATTCACTTAGACTTTCAGCAAAAATGCTTTGCTTAATAATAAATCCAATAAAATTTTCAATTATCGACTGTCCCGGGCCCGAAGAATTGTAGAAAACGCATTTGGGATATGAAGAGCAAGGTGGCGGGTATTTCAAGGGCCTCTTCAGGTACCACCAGAAATGGTAGACAAAGTAGTTCTAGCAGCATGCTGCCTTCATAACTATTTGGGCACAACTTTTAAGTTGCAAGATGAAATATCTACAGAACCTACTACACAATGATCATTAAATACTTGGTCTTAGAAGGAATAAACAGCATTAGAGAAGAGTTCAAACAATATTTTGTTTCACGCGAGGGTTCGGTGCCGTCGCAATTAAATATGGTGAGAATAGGAATGCAAATTACACGAAACGACAATGATTAGTTTCTAGGTACCTACTTGAAAATGATTATTTGCTAAATACCTACTTGAAAATAATAAGCGTTTAATTAATAAAAGTTGTGTTTTATTTATCTGACTTTTAAACCCTAAAATAAAGTTATAATTTAACAAATAAAATGTTGTACATTAACTTTTTGTTTAAACGCGCTAATTTCAAAACTACTGGTTCGAATTAAAAAAATATTTTTATTATGGATGGTCCATTTATCGAGGAAGGCTCCAAGCTACATTACGCTGCGTGCAACCAATAGGAACGGAGCAGCAGTAAAAAATGTTGCAAAAACGGGATAAACGCGTACGAAGTCGCGGGCGGCCGTTAATTATTGTTTTAATACAAATATATACTACTACACATAAAAACATACATACATAACGCCACGCCTGTTTCGCAGGGGGGTAGGCACCACGGCGTACAAAAAATACAGTTATAAGTAGGTACTTACCAGGCTTGCCATGCTGTTTTGATATTTCTTCCCATGCTGCATTGCGTAAAATAGAATCGCGATATTCAATGCATTTAATATTATAAATGGCTTCATATCGCCTAACCAAATCAATGAGTTGTTCGTCTCCCATTTTAAAGCGAAGGTAGTATACCATAGACGTTCAATCCGTGTCTGACGCGTTGCGAACGTAAGATCTAGAAACACACTAGTCGTACGCGTGGGATAGCGTATGAACATCCCCTTCACGTTCCCACGCCGATCTGGCGCAACAGGTGGAACGTTGCGTGGGACGCGTGTGACAGCATTGCGGATGACAGGGGTGTTTCTAGGCGAACAAATTCTACCGTTTAGATTTAATAATGCGTTGCATACGTTGCGCACGTGGGATCCGTTTGTCCCTAGCATTAGAGTGCGCGCGGCAGCGTCTTGCAAACGCACACATTCAAAAATAATGCAACAGTGTTTTGAGGTCAAGGCGCATCTAACTATTTAAATCTTTGAGTATAATAGGCATACAGTTTAAATATTTTTAAATATATAATAATTTAAAATAAAAGTAAACATTGGTAATGGTTTCCCAATGTGTGGATAAGGTTATTAAGCTGATAATGATGTTATTACGTTTGGATACATACTTTTTTCTCACATTCATATTCCCAATTTACGCTTATTAGATTGTCATATAATTTAAGGAACCTCTTGATGGGGCATTTTTTACCACAATATGGTATCAAGAGTGTATTAGGCTCCACTATTTCAGTGGAATTTCTGTACAAAATTCTAACATAGTGATCAGCCGTTGAGTTATCTGAAAAAGTTAAAACATTCTAAGACTCAAACAACAACCAGAGAATTAATAAAATTATGATAACCATTTTGAGTAATGTATACTAAATTACACACTAAATTCAATGTAAAGACTGAATTTGAAAGAGAGTCCTCAACAACAATGTTATGTCGACAAAAAGCGAATTAATGGTTGTACTTGTAAGTTTACCAAAAGACGTAAAAAACATCATTAGCTAGGGCGTAATATTTAGTACCTTACCATATATCAGCTCCAAAAGAATTGTTGCAGTGTATGGTGGACAATTTCCGTCAAAAAAACCCATAGCAGAGAGAATGTTGCCGATGGTAAAATCATGTCCACTGTATATAGATAACTTCAATGCACTTTTCGTCTTATTAGATATTGAATCGAACATTTTATTAACTATCTGTTTAAGTAGAGGGCCAACCATTAACCGTGCCATCAGTGGAGTTGCAGTTGATGTTGAGAAACTGAAATATTTCAGAATAAATATTATTATTGAGGACCATCCATAAATTAAATTACACATTGTGTGCAACAAAATGTGACAAGGTTCAAATCCTGGGTTTAAAAGCTATGTGACGTCACATGTTAAAATCTAAACTTTGAGTATTAAACCAACTGGATGGGATGGATGCGCGTTAATTCCTAAACAAAAAAGTCTGTCAATGAAAGAGGGGCGCAAAAAAACACAATTTTATATACTTAACTACAAAATGCAAAAGTGAATCGCGTCAATGAACGTGTACACTACAGCATTTGTGTTTGTGTTCATTGCATTTACGCATACTATCAAATTGTACACATGTCGATACACTGGTGCCGCTATCAACATGCGCAAGCAACGTAAGGCGAGGACTATGTCGATATTGTTTATCGATAAACAAAACATCGTATTCTGCATAAGTTCAGCTTTCAGCGTTGGTAAAAGTGATTTTTAGTATTTTTTCATTTATTATCTACAGCCCTTCACAAGTCCGCTGTTGAACATAGACCTCCCCCAAGGGGTGCCACAAAACACGGTTGTGATCCACCTCCTGCATCCACTTCGTACATGTCTTACCAGGTTGTCACTGCATCTATTGGGGGGGGGGGTAGCCCTGCACTTCAGCCACCGGTACGAAGCTGCCACTCGAGAACCTTCCCCCTCCATCGGTTGTCGATTCTTCGAACTATATGGTCAGCCCATTACCACTTTAGCTTACTAAAAATCCGTTGGGCTATGTCCGGATCTCTGGTTCTACTGTGAATATCCTTATTTCTATGTTTATCATGCCGAAAATACCGAGCATAGCCATCTCTGTGGCTCGCTGAGTGACTTTGAGGTTCCTCATGCGGCCATCAGTGATGTGTTTTTAGTGTTATATAAAATTATGATTTCATTAGTAAATATAATTATGGCTAGTTTTCGAAACTCAGATTTTAATTCAAATTTAATCTAAAAGTTGCGTATGGGTATTTTCCATGTTGTGTCGGTATAACCGAGCAATAAAAATTACTTACTTTAAATACTTTACTGAAAACTTGTTATATATGTTTTACAAATTATATTCGTACTCAGTCTTATATTTATTTCCAAATTAAACTTCACATATGCTATGATACCTTAAGTAGAGAGAGGGTTTCACAAGTGGACCACCTGTGACAAGGATGGTGATGATGTGACAAGCAAAAAATAAGTAATCTGCTGCACGAATATATGGTGCCGAGTATGGATAGAGGGCGGAAGTGCCGAAACCCTCCCTTTTTTTATGAAATTGAGAGTATTTTTGCTGTGTCCTGTGTTAACCTTAATTTATAGTTATAAGCGCCAGGTTAGGTTAGGTTGCGCCTAACGGACCTATGTTGTGTTCTATTCATTATGATTTTTTTAATGGACATGAACATAACTTAATATGGCATCATAATAATTTATTTGGTAATAAACCAACATTTTATGGCAATCACAGTGGTTTATTTAGGCAGAAATAGCACATTAATCTCTAAGACTTGTCTCCAAATTTTATGCGAATACAATTTGAAGTGCAGTTGTGACTAAAATAGCTAGTACTATTGTAATTTTAGGCTTCATTTTTCTGGTGGCAAGTATATATTTTTGGTAAAAGAACTAAGGGTATCAAAGCATTTTATGGTGGTCATTATATTTAACCCTATTCTAAATGTCGGAATAGCTGTAGTTAGTTTCTTACTGATAATAGATAAAAATCAATTGCTGACCGTTAGTCTTGCTAAAAAAAATCACGAATTTTGAAACGCATACCCATACGCACATTATAGTTCATGGCCTGAAGTTGCCGTTTTATTTCAAAAAATCACGAATTTTGAAACGCATACCCATACGCACATTATAGTTCATGGCCTGAAGTTGCCGTTTTATTTCAAAAAATCACGAATTTTGAAACGCACACCCATACGCACATTATAGTTCATGGCCTGAAGTTGCCATTTTATTTCGAAAAATCACGAATTTTGAAACGCATACCCATACGCACATTATAGTTCATGGCCTGAAGTTGCCATTTTATTTCAAAAAATCACGAATTTTGAAACGCATACCCATACGCACATTATAGTTCATGGCCTGAAGTTGCCGTTTTATTTCAAAAAAATCACGAATTTTGAAACGCATACCCAAACGCACATTATAGTTCATAGCCTGAAGTTGCAGTTTTATTTCAAAAAATGTAAAAAAATATATTTTGGCCCATTCGTTTTTATGACAAAGTTATGTGTGTTGAAAATAAAAAGTATGACAACTTGGTTGGCCGAGTTCTGAAATAATATGCATACTTTATGTAGTTTCTCATCTTAGGTTTTTAAATTATTAAGAGGATTGTGAAGTGCCGATACGCGATGCGAGTATGTATTTTCAAAAATGCTATCTGTTTCATACCGCTCGCTCTGTCTCCCTCTTCGTGCGATAGAGAGAGTTGCAAGTCTTAAAGGCTACTGCCATTTCCTTTTTGAAATATTGTTTCTAGCGACAATGTTTTCACCCCCCTAAACCTTTACGAAATACGACAATTTTAGTCTCAGTAGATTCATCAACGATTCTCATTTATCTATGTCTGTGCGTTATTCTTTTTCCGTAATCCAGTTTATTGTAATTTAACAAAAAACGCTCGTGAAAGTTTTCAAGTCGTAGGCGATATTTCTCTAAAATAAAAACGTACGAACCTAGTTTTTCATTACATCTAAAATATTCCTAAAAATTATGAAAATTCGGCTATGTTTATGGGGGAAAAACGTTATCGCTTTTTGTATGAAAATGTACAGCTTCACAATCCTTAATATAACGCGACCTACTGAAACACATTTAATTTAAAACAACCTTCAACCGCTAAACACAAAGGCCCCCAGAGGGAATAGGAAGGTCCGCCCCCCCTAAACGTAAAAAATTCAATGGAAAAAAAATTGAAAAACAAAAAGAGGGGCATCTCCTAGGCCCGATATAAAAAAAAAAACCAAAAAAAACACAAAAAACAAAGAAAAAAAAAAAAGGGGGGAAGTGATTTCTGGTTATTTATCAAGAGCTTAAATTCTAATTCAAAAGTTACAAAAATAGAGATTTTTTAGTTTCTAATACATTATGTTTAATTATATTTTTAATAGGTAAGCAAAAGAATATGAAGATTTTCTCAATTAAGTTTACCTATAACAAGATGGCTCCCTCAGTTTGTCAGGAAATATGGAGTGTGTCCAATTTGGTAAAGTAAAATTATATAAATCTTCAATAAACAGATTACTATATATGTCTTTCATGTCTTCATAATCTCGTATTTCCTTTCCAGTATATGTTGTCAGGTAACTGTAATAAAATAATTATTTTCCCTTAAATCTAATTTTTAATATTAACATAAATCAATAAACTGTAACACAGCATTTCTTTAAAACATACTCTAACTATTCATGCAAGTTACTCAACAGCTTATTAATACTAATTAATTCATGGAGAAACAATACATCTTTCAAATGAAGTTCTAGAACATATACATCGCCTACATTAAACTTTTCTCTAAAGAATAATAAAAAGGCTTAAAATAATATTAATAAATAAACAATGGATAAAAACTTTTTCAAATGATGTTACATTTTTTATACAGTTTAGCAGTAATCATGAGGTAGAGCCATGCTGCAGCTATAATATGGTTGTATCAGGAATGTGTTGACTCAACTAGGGTAGCACCACTATCACAGAATACCAGCGTAAAATAACAGCTTAATGTTGTGTTTTATATGGTGAGTGTAGAAAACCGGAGACGCTTTTTACTGGTAAAAAGGCATTTTGATTCTTAATCGAGGATAAATGTAGATGTATAAGGGCCATGACATCCACTTACTATCAGGTGGACTGTGTGCTTATTTGTCATCTTAATTCTATAAAAAAAATGTTTTATAACTTATTCTATTTACAACATACTTTATTGTAAGCTCTTACAAGTCAATAAGCATGTTCAGATCATAAGATTAGAATCCCAAAAAATCATGTTGGAAACTTAGAGCCTACTAACTTATTCAAATTTGTGGCCATAGATGGAAAAGGGGAGATCTCCCGCCGGGCAAGGTGTTCTGCCCGGGGAGCGGCCAACGCTCCGTGTGATAATTCGGAGATGTTCTATATATACTGTTTATGATTCGGAATGTTGATAGTGCGATTTAGGCTTCGGTGTGTTTTCGCTTGTGGCGGCGACAACAGCGCCGCTACATCACCCTTCTGCTCAGACCGGAGGTCGTTAGTGCAGCCTTGTTGCCGACGAATGTGCAAGTGCCAGTGGATTGCCTTGTAGTCTGCGGTGAGTCGAGAAGAAGGCAAGTAATCTGCGAGAGTGCCGTGAAGCAGAGGCGAGCAGTAAGGCTCAGAGCCGTGCCGAATACTGTATGGCGCAGAGAGTAGCTTGAAGGAACAGGAAGCATTATTATTCCAATGCTGCGATGAACCTTGTGAAGCTAGATGGCTTGCAGGATATGAAGACTGCAGACGATATCTGCTCGGGAGCGATACGGTGGGGTATTATATGACGATGATGAAGCTTAAAGTTTCCAAAGGTTGTTTGGTTGCGTGTTCAGATCACGTCGGGGTCACCACTGTGGCCGGTGAGGAAGGAAAAGGGGAGATCTCCCGCCAGGCAAGGTGTTCTGCCTGGGGAGCGGCCGACACTCCGTGTGATAATTCGGAGATGTTCTATATATACTGTTTATGATTCGGAATGTTGATAGTGCGATTTAGGCTTCGGTGTGTTTTCGCTTGTGGCGGCGACGACAGCGCTGCTACAAATTTATCCCTAAAGTTGTATGAACTAATTTTATTACAAAAGTTTAATGGCTTAATGCTGCTCATATAATGAAATATCATTTGTGATCCTTTACTTTTTTATCATTATGTCTAAAATCATAGACATACATACATCATTTTAGACATATTATCAGTCACTTCCATACAATACCATTACACTGCGGCTAAGGAGCTAAGCTAAGGAAGCTTGCATACTAAGACTCCAAACAAGTGCTAATTGATAGTAAAGCTTGATAGATCATCACAGTTGTAAAAGGGGTTTGCAGATGTCTATTAGAAGCCAGAGGCTTATTTTTTTAATTTGACATAGTACAAAAGCATCATCATCATCAATAAACTTTGCGCTGCTTACCTCTAGCTGCTCAGAATGGGCAATTATATATAATAAGTATCTCATTACAGTCACTCATTAATCTCTCTTAAAATAAAAATATGTTTTAATACTACATACTCCATAAGATTTTGATATTTACTGAGTCGGTCCTTGTATGCTTTGGAATTTAAGTACTGCTCCTTCTCTTTGTTGTATGCTATACAATTCTTTTTCATAGCCAGAAGTTCATCATCTCTCTCTGGTTTCGTATGCACTGGTATTGGTTGCCATAATAGGTCTTCATTCCATACAGACTTACCAGTTGGTGGGAACATACCTGTTAAATATGCTCACTATTACTGCATTGAATGGCTCAAGCAACAAAAAATTTTGTGCATAAATTTAAAAAAGTCCATACAGTATAATATAAATGTCTACATTTTATGTGATATATTTTTTCAAGTCCTTTTTATATACCCATTAAAATAAAGATAATATATGGTTGAACCTATCCCAATGGGCATTCTCTGTTAGTCAACTCATGGAGGTAAAATGTTAATATTGGATAATAAAAATCTCCCTCAAAGGCTGCCACAAAGCATCTAATGATTCAAAATGTATACTACCAGGTTGTCAATCCATCTAGTAAGGGGTCATTTTAGTACTCTATCTGGATGTTTAGCACTTAATTGTGTTAAAATACCCGCACAGATTTGATTAAAAATGATATAATAAAAGTATATCAAATTGTGAAATGTAACGTAACTTCTATTCCAGAGCTAGGCAAAGAGACCTTTAGTTAAAAGTTAATTTAGTTTAAAGAGATTTTGTTTAAAAAACTTAACACAAGCTAGTTATTATTCTATATATTCGGTTGATGTATTTTTAAAGCATCTGTGAACATCTAATCTACAAAGTTTCAAAATAGAGACCTCTACAGGAAACATCAAGAAACTCTATATATATATATATATATATATATATATATATATATATATATATATATATATATATGTATATAGCATAGTTCAGCAGTGGATTTTTGGGATGGAATATCTGTAGTAGGTAATAAATATTGTATGTGCTTTTTGCTGCATCTTACAACACGATTGATAAGAAGCAAGAAATTGGGTGATGGATTGTTTCACATCGATACAACAAATCGAGTTAAAGATATTTTTAATTACATAAATCATATAATACAAAATTATATATATATCTGCATTTATCTTCGAATAATCAAATGCATGTGTGTTGAGTTCAAGTTTCACTTGTGCTGGTGGAATTTGAGTTAAATACTTTGATATGTAGACTGTATAGGTAATTTAATAGTTACTGATACAATATACAAGTCTAGGGTCTTTGCTTTTTTATATATTGTTGGAGAATTAATATTTTACCAATAATCACACTTACATACTATTGTTTTTTTTTTTGTAATACTTGTCTGTTGTTGTAATCACTGTGTCTAGAGAATAAACAGAAAATGAAGGAACACTACACTGATGTGCTAATTGACTTTCATTCCTTTAAAATTTAAATTATTATAACATTTTAAATTAAATAAAAAATAAAAAGTTATTAAGAGATATATAATGAATAGAATACCATAATATATAAAATACAGTAAACAAAATGAATTAATTAATAAAAATAAATCAAATGGAAACCAAGTTGAGGATTAAGGGGAAGGAAAAGAAATCAGTGTATATTGGTTGCAATATCAAGGAACACCTTCTTCTCCCTATGAGTCCAAACCAGACTGTCACAAAATCTCAGTCACCTCAGATTACCTCCAAAGCTGACTTGAGCTAACCCATCCCCAAAAACAGAATATGTTTGAGATACTATTGGCTTACAGGAATTATTTCAGTTGTCATACCACCCCACACAAGCTCAGGTCAGATGTTTTGTTATCTTTTCTGTTTCGACTTTTACAAACTCCTAATCTTAACATAATAATATCTTTGATCTTGTCATGCCATCGCAATGATATCAGGTTTATTCTCATAAATAATTGTATAAGAGCATGGTACCTACTGTCATTTTAGACCACAATGACAATTACTTATACCATATTTTAGTACAAGATCCTGGTGTAAAATCCTGGCTCCTAGGTTGTGTCCATGCAAAACTTTAAATAAACGGAGAGATGACATGCTTACTGACTCAGATCTATAAGGTCTGTAGAAACATAACTTAAATGCACCAAGACTATGAGAAGTAGTTATAAATGATAATATGCTGAGGCCGACTTTTAGAAAAGCTTACGTGTAACAGTCAATTTTATAATGACTTCATTGTTCAACCTCGATTTATACATAACCTTCTATCTATAAATAAAGTTATATTTCATTCATATGGACTAGCATAAATACCTGCCAAATTGGCTTGAGCAGACATCAATGTACGATCCACGTCAGTGGACCGTACATACACTTCCTTCGGATCAAATTGATTGGAGAGTAAATTCTAAAAATTAAAAATATATTATTACATTGAAATGACAGTAACTACATTGAATATTTATGCATAACTTTAATACACACCGCATATCGCTTTCGGAGCCATTTACCTAACGCATAATGCTGCTTTTTACCAATATTGGTCAGTTGGCCAAATCTGACGGGCCATAATGATTCGTTTCGCCAAGGGTCTGTTGGATACAGGTCGACTGGTGTTCTATCACCATGTCTATAAATAACAGCTGCATATTTTATACTTTCTTCACCGAAAGACTTACTTAGTAAAATAAAAAGACAGAAGTACAAAAACATTTCAAAAACAAATATGTCAATGAAAGATTAAAACTATATCTAATAGGACTGAATACAAAAAAAAAAATGTTGAAAATTACGAATAAATAAATATTCAATACATAACGAAGTAAGTATGTAAGAATCAGGGTTACCATTTCGAAATTTTAAATTGCCGTGTTTAAGAATAAAAACTATATATTAAAATTGCCGTGTACATTTTATTTTATTTTAAATTAACACGTAAGATTAAACATGATATAAAAACATTACTTCAAAGTCGTCATACAAATTTCTTATCGTATCCAAGTTCTTTTTCTAAGACTTTGTTCAATTTATAATTATTATTTTCCTTCATACTGTTTATCATTTGTTTTGTCGGTTTGAAATTTACACAATTTCCTTTGGGATTGGATAAAGTGCTTAGCTAGTAAAGTTAAATAAAGTAAATAAAAAGCAGTATATCTTTTTAATGTACTTTTTTAAAAACGAAAGAATGAAATGAATACCATAAACAATGAAGTATGCGCGAAAGTATGTCGAATTTGCGTCGGGATTTCCCCGCTCATAGAGTGTTTGACTACGTCTAGTGACGATGCCTTATAATGACTTATCGATTACCGATAAAACTTTCTTGTTTATTTTCGCACGATCAAATCCTTGCATAGAATATCTTGGAGCCACTCATTACGCAATTTTTGTTTATAAGTAGGATTTCTAGCATTTTTCCCATTTTTAATAAAAATAATTGCGAGTATTCAACAAAAACTTTTATTACAGATCAAACATCCGTATTAAAAACAAAATAATTATTTGGAGAATTCAAGAGGAGAGACAATAATAACAAAAGTAGATTAGAGTTAGACGTTGTACATATGATCTCATAGACAAGGATATCAAAGTTTCACAGGATATGCGACTCAAACAGTAAAGAGAGAGAATGAAATAAGTAGAGTAGTTGATAGTTTTCTATATATTCAACAGTAGCGCCCCATTTTGGCTGACCAACGACAAAACAGTTTCCGAGCTGTATTTAAAATAATTACGTCAAATGAAAATTTACTCTCTCAAGTTTTTAAAGATAAGAATGTATTGCACATTTTTTCGTATTTTTAAACTAAAATAATAAATAAAATTATAATTTAATTTTTACCATTTCCAAATTATTTTTATTTCGAAAATAATCTAAAAAAACATACATTTTTGTTGTCCCGTTACAAAATCCGTTAGCCGTTAAACACAATTTTTTTCCGTTGCCAACCTCGCTGTCCCGTCAAATCTAACGGGACACCCGTCAAGCTGGCAACACTGGTATAGACTATATCACAGAGTACTTTCTTATAGACTATATATTAGTGGTATAGACTATATTATAGAAGAATATAGTGATCTGTGGTACGAATAAATACGTAGACAGAGAAACCTATATATAGACTATTGATCGGCGTGGCCTCGAGTGAGAAAGGACGATAACGAATTTTTAGGTTATACAATAATCTTTATGACTTTTAAATACATTTAGATAAAAATTTTAATTGTTCTAAGAACTGAACTGAACAAGATTCACCAATCTTAAGGTCACAAAACACTTTTTTCTCACTTAAACCAACTTGTAAACTCCTTAAATCGCTACGCTGTTAAAGTTGTTTAGCAAACTCTACAGTTTGCTAAACAAAAAAACCGGCACGGAGAAAGGGACAAATAATCACACCGCTCTATCTCATTTCTATGCAAGACGTATGCATAAATCTATCTTTTTCGTGTGCGAATGCGAAAGAAGGCGTCAATTTGTCTATTGGTTTCTCTGTCTACGAATAAATATGTGGCAGCTATGGAGTGTAGAGCTGAATAAATATGTACCTCTATGCTCCATGGTAGCAACCGTAGAGGGAGTAAGTACAATCTATTACTTTCCTCTATGGTACAATCCGTAGACAGAGAATAGGATTCTCTGAGAGATTGTAACGTAGACAGAGAATAGGATTCTCTGTCTACGGTACAATCTCTCTCTACGGTAGTATCATATTAGTCTGTGACGGTAGCATTCTCTGCATGGAGTATAGAGGTAAGGTGGACAATCTCCCATAGGAGAATAGTTGAAAATGTGTCCATCTGCAAGCAGTAAATAACAGTTCAAAAACTATCCACAACAGCGCTCGAATAGCTACAGGGTATGGTAAATCGCCGTAAAACACATTGAGAGTGATTTTGAAAGTAAAAATTCTGAAAGCAATAAAATAATTATTGTAAAAAGAATGATGGTGAAAATCTGTGCATTAAAAAATTATAAAAATATCTTTAAAATTTAGATGGTAGCTACAGTGGCGCCACCCTTATTTAGCACTTTCCTACGGACACTTTTTTATACTGAGTCCGTACTCCTTACACTTACACTCCACAAATCTCTGTCTACGTGTAACAAGAATGTGACGTAATACCAGTGACGTAATACCAGTGTTGTCAGATGCCTTGAACCTTTTATCCACTTCTATCCCCCATGGGGGTTAGAGAGAAGAAGAACGATCGCAACGTACTAAAGAATTGCCCGTCTGTCCCTGAACAGCCGTCGGTAGGTAGTATCTGTGATGTTAGCCGTTTATGAGTTAAAAGTTAGTTGAATAATGTACAAATTTTATCGTAGTCATAGTTAACCCGGCTGCCTTCAGTTTTTGAATATTGATTTTTGGATCTACATGGTCGAGATGATCTACATAGAACGAGCTTACAATATCTTGAAGTCTTGCAGTGGTATGCTTGGGTTTGGGTAGATTTTGCAAATAGCAGGTGGCAGCACACATCCATCGACTGTGGCCGGCTTCACTCGGTCGCTGTGACGTCGTAGTCGTGGGACCCAAAGCTTGTTGTCTTGCAATACTTGCTTGACGTGCTGAAGCTCAGCGGCCAGATGTTTTCTGTCACAGATCCCTTGTGCTCTCTGAAACAAAGATTTACCCACGGTAGCTAACTGTGAAGAATGAACGATCGATTCACCATATTATTAGGATTTCGGATGACTAAAACATCTAGGAAAGCTAAAGAATTATTTGCCTCTAACCCCATTGTGAATTGTATTTTAGAGTTTATGGAGTTAAGGTGGTCTAAAAATGTAGTTGCTTTGTCAGATGGTAAAATTGTGAAAGTGTCGTCTACGTACCACTTGTAGAATCTCGGTTTCACAGAATCTGTAACAAGGGTTTTCTCCTCAAAGTCCTCCGTAAATACGTCGGCGACTATAGAAGATACAGGTGAGCCCATCGCCACACCATGAACTTGCTTGTTGAAGTCTTCCTTCCATAATAAATAGCCAGATGTGGAGCATTGTTTGGGTAATACTGCATATTCTGCAGGAATGTTGTTATCTACTAGCTTCCTAGTTACAATTGAGATGCAGTCTTCAATAGGAAGACATGCGAATAGTGACTGAACACCAAAACTGACCATAGTTTCATTGTCAGGGAGATGTAGGTCTTTTATCTCACCAACAAAATGTTGTGAATCATTTGTGTGTGCTCTGGTATGTCCTCTCGGTGGTGACAGTATTTTTGCCAAGTGCTGTACCTAAAATTAGCACAATACGGTAACGTGTTTTAAATTTAGATGTACTTAATAATAATAATAATATTATAATTATAATGCGTAATTAAATGGCGTAGGGAATTGACGACCCCATCGCCCGCTGACGTAACAGTTAAGTGACAAAACTGCTACGTCAACGCAGTCAGTCAGCGCCTTGCGAGAGGTGTGAGCGCCGTGCCTCGGCAGAATTCAGGGTGCAAAGGCCCGTTTGTGCTTATGGCCGTCCACGATACGGTGCCGGGTCTGGGTGTCTCCCGTTAATGGACGCCCATATTATGGATGATGGAGAAAAAGATAGTGCGCAAAGGGCCGCTGCCTGGAAGTCGCCAGGGCGCGTCTGGAGCTGGCGCTGGACGCGACAGCATGCGGGCTGCCAGCCGAGCGCGGGGTGTTGCAAGTCCACCTAGCAGCCCCCCGCATCCATCATCCCCCCCAGAAGGCTTGGTGTCGGCTGGGTCTTCTCGGACTCAGCAAGCGGCACCCGCCGCTGGTGGAGCACGTCGCATGCGTTGGTCTAAATCAATGAATGAAAACGCACTGCGGGCGTATTTTAGGGCAAAAGGGGAAGAAACTGGATGTTTGGCGTATCGGGCTCGGATGCATCGCTTTTTTGCAGAGCTGGAGCCATCTCTATCCGTCACTGAGCAAAACCTGGCAGACCGAGTTAGGTACATCCTGCGCTCCAACATATTTGGTGACGCCGAACTCGAGCGACTACGACGTGAGGCTATTCCTTCATCGAATGAAAATGCTACGGCTGGAAATGCGGCGCCACTAGATGCGCAACAAACTGCATATGTGGATGCTGCCGTCAACATTCCATTTGTGGCTAATTCAGACGATGATGGAATAGTCTCCCACGAACTAGAGAAAATGAGGAGCATATTGGAAGAGTCGATGCTGGAAACGCGCAGCATGCCTCTCGAAAATCGACCGCGACTTCCCCCGCATACCCCTTAGCAAGCGAAATCGGGCTGTCGTGTGGGCTCTTAACCCAATGCTGGTGACCTATTTGGAAGCCAGCCGGGACCTTTGCGAGACGGATTCAATTCTTTTTGGCGCCGCACTGGCAGCATGCCGTATTATTGGCGCCAAACTTCCCGTGGCTGGACGTGCTACTCAAAAAAGTACCGCCATCCCAGCCTGGAGAAAAAGAATTGAGGACCGTATCGCAAAGGCAAGGGCCCTTATCGGCAGACTGACAAGCTTCAGGTCGGGTAATAATAGACCGAGGATTATGCGCACCGTTAGGATGGCGTTTGCTGGGACAAATATCAGTTTGTTCCAGCCGGATATCACGCAAAAACTAACGGAGCGCATAGATGACCTGAAGCAAAAAATCGCTGCTTGGGGGAAGCGGATTCGACGCTTTAGCGAGAGGTCTAGGCGGTTCAACCAGAATCGTCTCTTCCAGAGTGATCAGAAGAGGCTCTATAAATCATTGGAGCGACCAGAGGTATGTGGAGCGGGCCCAGGACCGGATCAGGCTGACACTGTCGCATTTTGGCGTGGCCTGTGGTCAGAGCCCGTAAACCACAGCGAGGGCCCTTGCATGGAAGTTGTGGCGAGCCAGAGTGCAAGTGTTACGCCTATGGACCCCGTCACCATAACGCCTGAAGACGTGGACGGGCTGCATCATTACTGGCTGAAGGGGTTCGTAGTGTGTCACGCTGTGCTAGCCCGACAGTTTCAAGAGGCTCTCGATCAGAAGTCGCTCCCGAGCCTCTTCACTACTGGGATCACTCATTTGGTTCCTAAAGATCAGAATACCACAGACCCGAGCAAATACCGCCCCATCACGTGTCTACCCCCCATATATAAGAATCACTCGTCACCTGGAGCTAAATCAGGTGATGTCACGCGCTCAAAATGGATGCCGGGGTCGTGGAACCACTCCTCATTGACGCGGTCATTGGCAAAGTGGTGAAACGCAACCGTCGGAATTTCTCCGCCGCCTGGATAGACTACAGAAAGGCATTCGACTCGGTGCCCCATACATGGCTAAAGAGAGTCCTCCAGCTGTACAAAATTGACTGTACAGTTGGAGACTTCCTCGAGCAGTGTATGGGGCAATGGAGTACGATCCTTTGCTATCTGGGCGAGCGGATGATGGCTGCGGAGAACCACATAAGGATAAGAAGGGGTATCTTCCAGGGCGATTGTCTGAGTCCAATCTGGTTTTGCTTCTCCCTGAACCCTCTCAGTACTTTACTGGAGGGCTCCGGGAGGGGATTTCAGCTTCGGAAAGGAGGTACAAAAGTGACCCACCTTTTCTATATGGATGACCTCAAGTTATTCGCCTCCAGTCGCTCCCATCTTATGGAATTGCTAAACATCACTTGTGAATTTAGCAATTCTATTGGAATGGAGCTGGGAACGGATAAGTGTGCGGTCCTCCATGTTGAAAGAGGGAGGGTTGCTAACTCTGAGGGCATATACTTATCTATGCCCGTCAACTTAAAGTGCCCTTTCCGAGGCTGAAACATACCGATACCTGGGTATGTCACAGAACATCGGTATCGATGAGGCTGGTATGAAACAGTCAGTTTGCGACGTGTTTTAAGCACGCTTGACCAAAGTGCTTAACAGCCTTTTGTCCGGTGTGAATAAGACACACGCATATAACGGCTGGGTCATGCCTGTCCTCATGTATACCTTTGGCATACTCAGGTGGACTCAGACTGAACTTAACGCCCTGGATAGAAAAGTCCGCACTACCATGACGTCCCACAGGATGCATCATCCGAGATCGTCGGTAATGAGGTTGTACTTGCCACGAAAGCATGGTGGGCGTGGCTTCTTGAGCGCGCTCACCATGCATAATCGCGAAGTGTGCAGCCTCCGTGATTACTTCCTGGCGAGATCGGAGGATCCATTCTATAAGGACGTCATTTCTAGTGATAAAGGACTTACCCCTCTATCCTTAGCCAACGAGCAATGGGAAGACCCGGCAGTGCAGATAATTTCCGACCGGGAGAACGTATGGATGGAGAAGGAGCTCCACGGGAGGTTCTACAAGGCTCTACACGAGCCTTTCGTAGACACAGTAGCCTCCCTCCACTGGCTACGCTTTGGCGATCTCTTCGGGGGAAACCGAGGGTTTTGTCTGTGCAATACAGGATCAGGTTATTGAGACCAACAACTATCGGAGATACATCCTAAAGGATGGCACCGTGGACATCTGTCGAGCTTGTCGCCATCCCGGTGAGTCACTTAGGCATGTCATCTCCGGTTGTTCGGCGCTTTCTAACTCTGAGTACTTGCACAGGCACAACCTAGTAGCCAGAATTCTTCACCAGGAGCTCGCTCTGAAATACGGTCTCGTGGATCGGAAATTGCCGTATTACAAGTACTTGCCGGAAGCCGTGCTCGAAAATGATCGCGCCAGGCTCTATTGGGAACGGGCCATCATCACAGACAGGACTATTCTTGCGAATAAGCCTGATATTGTGCTGATGGACCGGGCACAGTCAAGGATATTTTTGGTCGACATTACCATTCCATATGACGAGAACCTCGTGAAAGCGGAAACAGATAAGCAAACAAAATATCTGGACCTGGCTCATGAGGTGACCGACATGTGGGGTGGTCTGCCGACCGAAATTATTCCTGTAGTCGTCTCTGCGAACGCGCTAATCCCAGTCAGCCTCTCGGGTCATCTGAAGCGGCTAAGACTACGTGGCGGACCGCTCCAGGCACAAATGCAGAAGGCGGTGCTCCTCGATACCGCCCGCATCGTCCGCCGGTTTCTTTCCCTTTCCCCCTAACCCTCGGCCGTTTGGTCTCCCCTGCCGAGGGCCTCCATCTGGTTGGGCTTTTATTTATTTATTTATTTTTATATTTAGTTTATGTTATTGATATTTATGTATATTTATCTTTTCATTTTCATTTATAATTATATATTTATAGAACCCAACCAGATGGGAAAACTATGTTGATACCCCACAATAATAATAATAATAATAATAAGATATTACTGAAGTTCATGTAACACTAGAATAATAATAATCACATTATAACATGAACTTGTTTTATGATTTATAAATCCGTTAAAAATAGTTTAATTTCGACGTGTAACATTCGCCTAAAAATTAGAATATCACGTTTCAATCAACCACTTAATGCTATTATTTATTGTGTAATCCATACCAACCATACTAAAACTGGCAACTACAGTGTTGGTATAGCGGAATCCAACAGCCTTCTACGGTTTTTCATAATATGAAGATTGTCTTATCTGAAGTGTCTTGAACATAGCACACTATTATTGGTGGGAAATCATTGGTGCCCTCAACAAGTAGCATCGATCCACATCTTTTTTCCTTTCGGAGCAGTTAGGAAACTTATAACATATAGGTACCACAATGATACACCACTATTTTTATAAAATAATGACTTTAAAAAATATAAGCGATGACTAAACAAATATCTACTTATAAATCACAACACTATCGATACACGTGCTGTCGTTACGGCGCCTCTACACGTTGGCCAACACAGTGGCGAATGTAGTGGCCAATAGCATTGGCCAACGTGTAGACGGGGTGTTTGGGCTTCATTGGTATGTATTGGAACGATGGCCCGCAAGTTGGCGCGAGATCCGTGTGGTGTCGGTTTTTTACAAAAGATCAAAGGATTGTTGGCAGAGTTTGGTCGCCGCGTCCACACGTTGGGAGCGAGTTTAGTTTGCTACAAGCTCCCAGAGTGATTACACGCATCTGATTAAAATTTTATATTCACGCTTTGTAGGGTGGATGACCCAATTACCAGCCTTTTAGTACAATTTCCACTTTAAACATTCCTTCTACTTTAATTAGCGCGATTTAATTATTTTTAAACATTTGTTTTAATCGATAAGGTATTTATAAAAAAAAATGAACATTTATTAACAATCAGATTATTACGAGAACAACTTTAAAATGAAAAAAAAATGAAGCACGTCGTTTATACGTGGTAGAACCATGCAGTTATATTAGAAGTATAGCTGTAGCACGAATGGGTCGGTTCGACCGGGGAAGGACCACGCTCTCACAGAATATCAATGTAAAATAGTAGCTTAATGATGCTGTGTTTCGTATAGAGAGTGTAGAGAATCAGAGACACTTTTTAAAGGAAACGAGGCAGTTCATCTTAGTCCTCACGGGTGACAACGCATCTGCATTTTGATTCGTAATCGAGGATAGATGTAGATGTCTGTGGGCCACAGCACCCACTTACCATCAGGTGAACTGTGTGCTCGTTTGTCACCCTATCCTATATAAAAAAGCGTCGATTTCTTATAATTTAATTGTGCAAGTTTTCGAATCATCATTACAGCTCTTCACAAGTCCACTACTGAACATTCTCCTCCACAGACTACCGCAAAGCATGGTCCTGAGCCACTTTGCTCGTCATGAGTTTTTCATTTATGTTCTAAGTTATAATTAGTACCTATTATTAAGTCAGTGTTAATTATATTTATTGCTATTGTTTTTGTCTTTCTCAAAAATAATTAAATTACCAAATAAATTATAAGGTGTTTTTATATACATCAAATGTCTGATAGAAATGCAAGTACATATTTTGCTAAACTTTAAAATCAAAACCCAATTTTAAAACATAGACTAATCGATTATAACTCCTTTAACTTTATAATAAGTTAAGTTCTTATTAATGGTATTTATTCCAGTTTATGATGCATGTAAAGAATAAATAAAGCTAATCGTATATCGTATATCTATTTACAACCCCATTAATATACACTATTATTTTATAATTCTTTTATAAAAACGTTAACCCCACACTAGGATTTTCTCCCGTATCGCGCAGGCAGCTTACAAACATAAATTGCACAAGGACACACATCCAGACCCGAAACAATTATTCGTAGGACATACAAATACTTGTTCCGTGCGGGATCAAACCTGCGGCGCCCGGCGCAGCCTCTCATTGCTGAGCCACTGCGCCACGGTGCTTATAAATTCGCCCGCACATTGGCCCGAACCGAAGTAAACTGAACGACCTTCCAACGTATGGACGCCGTCACCAACTCTCGGCCAATATATTCGCCACTCCGTCCGCCACTGTGTTGGCCAACGTGTAGAGGTCCACACGTTGGCCGCGAGTTTAGTTTGCTACCAGCTCCCAGAGTGATTACCCGCATCTGATTAAAATGTTATATTCACGCTTTGTAGGGTGGATGACCCAATTACCAGCCTTTTAGTGCCAATTTCAACTTTAAACATTCCTACTATTTTAATTAGCGCGATTTAATTATTTTTCAACATTTGTTTTAATCGATAAGCTATTTATAAAAAAAATAATGAACATTTAGTTATATTAGAAGTATAGTTGTAGCACGAATGGGTCGGTTCGACCGGAGAAGGACCACGCTCTCACAGAATATCAATGTAAAATAGTAGCTTAATTATGCCGTGTTTCGTATAGTGAGTGTAGGGAACCAGAGACACTTTTTAAAGGAAACGAGGCATTTCATCTTAGTCCTCACAGGTGACAACGCATCTGCATTTTGATTCGTAATCGAGGATAGATGTAGATGTCTATAGGCCACAGCAACCACTTACCATCAAGTGAACTGTGTGCTCGTTTGTCACCCTATCCTATATAAAAAAGCGTCGATTTCTTATAATTTAATCGTGCAAGCTTTCGAATCATCATCATCATTACAGCTCTTCACAAGTCCACTACTGAACATCCTTCTCCAAAGAATGCCGCAAAGCACGCTCCTGAGCCACTTTCCTTGTCATGAGTTTTTCATTTATGTTCTAAGTTATAATTAGTACCTATTATTAAGTCAGTGTTAATTATATTTATTGCTATTGTTTTTGTCTTTCTCAAAAAATAATTAAATTACCAAATAAATTATAAAGTGTTTTTTATATACATCAAATGTCTGATAGAAAAGCAAGTACATGTTTTGCTAAACTTTAAAAACTAAACCCGATTTTAAAACATAGACTAATCGATTATAACTCCTTTAACTTTAAAATAAGTTAAGTTCTAATTAATGGTATTTATTCCAGTTTCTGATGCATATAAAGAATAAATAAAGCTAATCGTATATCGTATATCTATTTACAGCCCCATTAATATTCACTATTATTTTATAAGTATTTCATAAAAACGTTACACTTGGATTTTCTCCTGTATCGCGGAGGCAACTTACAAACATAAATTGCACAAGGATACACATCCAGACCCGAAACAATTATTTGTAGGATATACAAATACTTGTTCCGTGCGGGATTCAAACCCGCGACCCCTGGCACAGCCACTCATTGCCAAGCCACTGCGCCAAGGAGCCGTCGTCTAAAATAAAATAAATTCGTCCGCACATTGGCCCGAACCGAAGTAACTGAACGACCTTCCAACGTGTGGACGCCGTCACCAACTCTCGGCCAATATATTCGCCACTACATTCGCCACAGTGTTGGCCAACGTGTAGAGGCGACATTACGGCGCCTCTACACGTTGGCCAACACAGTGGCGAATGTAGTGGCCAATAGCATTGGCGAACGTGTAGACGGGGTGTTTGGGCTTCATTGGTATGTATTGGAACGATGGCCCGCAAGTTGGCGCGAGATCCGTGTGGTGTCGGTTTTTTACAAAAGATCAAAGGATTGTTGGCAAAGTTTGGTCGCCGCGTCCACACGTTGGCCGCGAGTTTAGTTTGCTACAAACTCCCAGAGTGATTACACGCATCTGATTAAAATTTTATATTCACGCTTTGTAGGGTGGATGACCCAATTACCAGCCTTTTAGTGCCAATTTCCACTTCAAACATTCCTACTACTTTAATTCGCGCGATTTAATTATTTTTAAACATTTGTTTTAATCGATAAGCTATTTATAAAAAAAAATAATGAACATTTATTTGCAATCAGATAATTACGAGAACAATTTTAAAATAAAAAAAAATAAAATTAAGCACGTCGTTTATACGTGGTAGAACCATGCAGTTATATTAGAAGTATAGTTGTAGCAGGAATGGGTCGGTTCGACCGGGGAAGGACCACGCTCTCACAGAATATCAATGTAAAATAGTAGCTTAATGATGCTGTGTTTCGTATAGTGAGTGTAGAGAACCGGAGACGCTTTTTAAAGAAAACGAGGCATTTCATCTTAGTCCTCACGGGTGACAACGCATCTGCATTTTGATTCATAATCGAAGATAGATGTAGATGTCTGTGGGCCACAGCTACCACTTACCATCAGGTGAACTATGTGCTCGTTTGCCACCCTATCCTATATAAAAAGCGTCGATTTCTTATGATTTAATCGTGCAAGTTTTCGAATCATCATCATCATTACAGCTCTTCACAAGTCCACTACTGAACATCTTCCTCCACAGACTGCCGCAAAGCATGGTCCTGAGCCACTTTGCTCGTCATGAGTTTTTCATTTATGTTCTAAGTTATAATTAGTACCTATTATTAAGTCAGTGTTAATTATATTTATTGCTATTGTTTTTTGTCTTTCTCAAAAAATAATTAAATTACCAAATAAATTATAAGGTGTTTTAATACATCAAATGTCTGATAGAAATGCAAGTACATATTTTGCTAAACTTTAGAATCAAAACCCAATTTTAAAACATAGACTAATCGATTATAACTCCTTTAACTTTAAAATAAGTTAAGTTCTTATTAATGGTATTTATTCCAATTTATGATGCATTTAAAGAATAAATAAAGCTAATCTTATATCGTATATCTACTTACAACCCCATTAATATTTACTATTATTTTATAATTCTTTTATAAAAACGTTAACCCCACACTAGGATTTTCTCCCGTATCGCGCAGGCAGTTTACAAACATAAATTGCACAAGGACACACATCCAGACCCGAAACAATTATTTTTAGGACATACAAATACTTGTGCCGTGCGGGATCAAACCCGCGGCGCCCGGTGCAGCCACTCATTGCTGAGCCACTGCGCCACGGTGCTTATAAATTCGTCCGCACATTGGCCCGAACCGAAGTAAACTGAACGACCTTCCAACGTGTGGACGCCGTCACCAACTCTCGGCCAGTATATTCGCCACTACATTCGCCACTGTGTTGGCCAACGTGTAGAGGCGACATTAGACAAACTAATTAGACAAAGACAACTACTGTAATTTATGTAATGAGTGAAAGGAACATTTCAAATTACCAGTATATGTTGAACTCCGGTGCATTTGAAATAGGTTAACGTGATAAGAATAGAATTTAATTTCCGATGAAATATTATGCCATTTTTTTGATAACTGAATGTCATAGCTGACTTGCCACACTATTTTACTGCACAGGAAGCCATTTGTAATGTATTTTGGATACTAGACTATTTTTAAATTGTCAAGAACTCCGACGTGCCTACGGGTTACAAACTTGGTCGAATATCGTGATTCTTAGCGTTACTTCGTATGCTAGCTACAGCAAGTATGTGTTGCGCGCGTTTGTATATATTGTAATATTATATTTCTCAAAACTTTTGTGGGTATTGACGTACTTCGTCATACAGTCTACGATATTCACCAAACTGATGCCTGTATTAGTTTAAATAGTGAAATCCTATTTTATTTGCATTATATCTTGTGCAAAAAAACTATTCCCTTCTAGTTATTTTTAGCACGCGCAAAAATAGCACGAAGAAACCACATGTCATGCAGCCGCCTCAACGTGGCATACTACAGCGACAAGGCGCAGCGTCTTCACGCCTCCCGCCTCCGCAGGTCGCCTCCGATCCACGCAGTTGCTCTAGCGTGACCAACGCATAAGATCCCGCGTTCCACGCCGGAGGCGGGAGAGGAGCAGGAAGAAGTCGCAGCCTCCTCAGGCTGTTACCTCTACCCCGACACCAACTGGACCAGTAGCCTCACAGGCGCAGATTACTCGGGAGATTACCAAAAGCGTGGGTAGAGTGCCAGAAAGGGCTCTACCGTCTCTACCTCTAATGAGGACCATCAACACCCGAGACAATTGCCAACGCCTTCTTATAGGAGACCACCTACTGCTAGCCTCGAGACAGCAGATGCAATCCAACGCTTGGTTGGTATTGCCATCGAGGTCGGCACACAAGTCCTGGCCGACATCAGAGCCGGGACAGATCCAGTGACGGCAATAATGAAGGCGCTGGCAAATTTACTAGCCCGGCATTACGGAGGAGAGTAATTTGTGCCTCCTCTATTGGAACCCGGACGGAATACAGCAGGAGCTGCATGAACTCCGCACAGTCGCCCAGCAAAGGACTTGCACATCATATTGCTGGGAGAGACGAAGTTAAACCCCAAGACGCACATTAAGCTGCCGAACTACCATTTGTACAGAAGGGACGAGGTCACTCCTCAAGGGGTCGCCTACAGAGGGACGGCGGTTCTAGTGAGGAGGTACATCGTCCACCAGGAGCTGGAATTACCACCATATCAGGCTATGCGCTCTATCGGCATAAGAATGGAGGCGGCGGGCGAGGAACTAAGGATCTACGCAGCATACCGCCCGCCAGGGACTCCATTCTGCTCCTCAGACATCCGGACGGTGATGGAAGGCGAAATACCCACTATCATCGCCGGGGGACCTAAACGCCAAACACCCGGCGTCGGGGTCCAGAGTGATCACCCCGCCGGGTCATGCAATATATGAAGACGCAGAAAAGAATAACTACGACGTTTTAGGTCCTGAAGAACCAACTCACGTTCCGACAGATCCGC